AAAACAATGAAGACTTTTGTAAAATTATGTAATCTTTCAACAGAAATGAGTCGCTTAACTCGTCTTCTTTTAATGGGCAAAATGTCTTCTTCACTTAGTTCATCTTCACATTGCTTTTCGATTGTAGCTTTTTTTTTTTCTAACTCCACTAAAATAGATTAAGCTATAAATCATTTTCCAACTAGAATTCCAACACAACTACACTAATTTAGATTTTACCATTTGCAACTAACAATTCTCTAGCAATTCCAATGTAAAAGATAATTTCAATGTCATTAACATTTATACTTGATTTATCTATTTGTTCACATTTTGCTGTTTTTTTTCGAAATCTATAATAAATATAAAATATGAAAAAGTCTGTCTTTAATGTTTTGTTAATTTCTCGAAAATTACAAAAGCTAGAGTTAATATTCAAAATGTAAATGAAAGATGAATATTTGGGGAATAAAATGTGTTTTGTGTAATATTTGTAGATTCAAACATTTGGCTGCAATTCACTGTTAAAAATAAAGTAGTTTTTTTGTAAATTTTTCAAAAAGTAGAAATGATAGAATTGATTATTAAATAAGGAAATTAAAGGTGAATAAAAATTCTAAATCCAAAATAAAAAAATAAGTCTCGTGTCTTCACGTTCTTATCAATATATCAAATAAGAGTTATTTAGAAAAGATTAATAATAGATTTTACCATTTGCAACTACCAATTTTCTAGCAATTCCAAAATGTATACTTGATTTATCTATTTGCTCACATTTTACTGATTTTTTTTTCGAAATCTATAATATATATAAAATATGAAAATGTCTGCCTTTAATGTTTTGTTAATTTCTCGAAAATTACAAAAGCTAGAGTTAATATTCAAAATGTAAAGTAAAGATGAATATTTGGAGAATAAAATGTGTTTAGTGTAATATTTGTAAATTCAAACATTTGGCTGCAATTCACTGTTAAAAATAAAGTAATTTTTTTGTAAATTTTTCAAAAAGTACAATTTATAGAATTGATTATTAAATTAAATCAAGACAAGATAAATTATAAATTATTTTTATTGAATTGAAGTGTTCATATAAGGATTGATACAAAAAAAAATGAAACAAGAACTAAACTAAAAGACTGTTTTTCAACAAAAACAATGAAGACTTTTGTAAAATTATGTAATCTTTCAACACTCATCCTCGCTGTCAGATATGCAAAATGTCTTCATCACTTAGTTCATCTCCACATTGGTTTTCGATTGTAGTTTTTTTTTTCTAACTCCACTAAAACCTCTCTGTAGGGATCTAAGCAATTTCTTAACTCTCTTTTAAACTTTGAACCGTTGAACGATCAGTTTGAATGAAATGAAGTTCTAATACTTTAGCCAAATTTAGCCCTTTTTCACATCTTGTAAATCGAGATTCGTTTTCCTTATTTCCGTTTACCATTGCATTTGAGATGGATGCATCAATTAATTCCATCAGTTCTTCCTCATCTAAAGTTTCTTCCCCTAGTTCTTTAACATCCTGATGGTTTACTGCAAATTCTTCATCGCTTAAACGAGAAGCAATGTTTACTATTTCTGTAACTGGGAGTGAAATTGTACAATCATCTTGTATTGTTTGAACCATTTGAGATAAAAGAGTACCGCGTTATAGGAGGGCTGTCGCAATTTCATCTCCGCGTTATATGGAAACCGCGTTCTGAGAGTACCGCGTTATAGGAAGGTTTGACTGTAATGACATAAACAAAAAACAAAGCTATATTTTGGTGCAGCGAAAATGCTGCAGGTATTTTTCGCATTAAGCGAAAACCTCTCTCTCTCTCTATCGAAAATTCATGCACACAAAGAGTTTGCATTCATCAAACGCGCGCGCACATAACAACAAATTCATACACATATTGTTTCCAATTTAATTAAAGCCGATATTAGTTTCATTATGCGATTCGGGTAGAAACAAAATGCGTTCGTTTTTAATTGATAATTAGTAAAGAATTCACTCGCTCCCAGTTCATTTTTGCTTTTGTTTTTTTTTTCAATTTCTTTCTTCCGGCGTTTGTTTTGTGCGGCTGTGTTTTTGGTAATTAAACTAATTAGGAATCGAATTTGTATGCGGCCGGAAGCTTCAAAACGGGGGATGTTTCAGAGGGGTTAATGCCAATACATTGTAATGAGAAACAAAAACCTACCCTGTTCGCCCTCTCGATCAACTGGAGGCCGGAAGCGGCGCGTAAAAGCCTACTGCAATTTGCGATTTTAAATTTTAAATCGGCAAAAGTGCATTGTTCGATTCCAACCTACACAACTATACATCTATATATATAGATATACGTGTATGTATATTATATTTCCGTATTTCCGAAAATTATTCCACGGGAATATTTCCCGCGCTCCACATGAATACATAATGCACTATTTTATTTATTTATACGCCACCCTTCCTCCCTCCCCACCCCCCGCAGTTTTATTTCCAATTCATC